CTTCACGCTGCTTATGCTTCCCTGCCCGAAATGACATCGTATCTTTTTTCCTGTTGCATAAAAATTTATTGTATTCGACAATGATTGAAAAGTAATTTGTTTGCCAAAGAGATGATTTGAAATGTATAAAAATAAAGATGGTAATTCTTCAATTCAGTTTTAACAACGTCTTATTCCTGCCTTTTCCACCTAGCCATGTCTACAGCCAGAAATTAAAGTACCGAGTTCACGACTGCGCACTTAAAATATTGAGCATATATATATATGTGTGTGTGTGTGTATAACAACATGTGTTTCTAATCTTGTTAGGTTACAATTAACTGAAGATTAACTCTCATTGTTTGATTTACAATATAATTATTAAAATGATAATAAATGTTTAATAACATTTCCATTTCCGACACAGGAAAACTTGGTAGATAAAAAATAATACATTTATTTCACATTTTTTTTAAATTTTACAATAAATATTGTCATTTATTTCATAGACTACTGTCATATACACTCTAAATCCATCTAAATATGAGGAACACACAAATTTCATACACTGGGAAAAGTAATAAATTATCATAATAATCTCTCAAATAACCACGTCATATTTGAGTGCTAACAATAACCTAGATATTTTATAGACACCTTTTATGGCCTTTTTATAATTTTCATATGAATAAAATGTGCTATGCTGCTGTGCTTTTAAATATGATAGAACTATACAGAAACGAATATATTTCCAGTATTTTTTAATATATTAACTTTAAATGTAAAATTTTATTTACATGATAAGGAATATGCATTTCTTGTAAGTTTTTAAAATCTACACCTCCAAAGAACAAGAAGAGGTCGAAATACAGAAATAAAACATTTCAGAAATGAAATCAATTTTAGAATTTATACCTAGAAGATAAAAAGAACACGAGACGATATTAGACAATATTATAATACTCTTAGTGATAGGAAATTTTCTTTTCACTGATTTTACTTTAATAGGTGTTGTATAATATCTCATGTAATAAGTCCTTCAAGCAGAATGTCACGTATAAATGACGCACTGTAGTCGTGCTAATTGACTTACGCGCAGAATATTAGAAATATGAAGTTATGTTATAAGAGTTATGTTACTTTTATTGCCTTTTCAGAATGATACTGATTTTGACTGAAAGTTCTGTACTGATTCTGATGTTTATTATGCTTATGTGTTTGTCAACTACGTGTCTTGATACTTGCAGTGAAAGATTTTATGGTACATTAATTTTCAGAATTTTCCTCAGTATCTGTCCTGTTATCATTATATTGTCATTACTAACACAGTTAATAAATATTTCCGTTTAAAACGCATCATTCTGTCAGAAAATTTGAGTGTTAAATTGTAGTTTTCCTTCTACAAATCTGAAGTTTTCCCTTTTATACTGAATTTTTAAACAAATCATTAAATTTAGGAGTAAAATAGGACGGACTTCTTTTATCCGAATTTACTAGGGCGGTGACATTTCAGATATAATTTATTTTTCAAATAAATCATTAGAAATATTTTCATCAATTGAAGTATAAATTCGAGTATGTATTTAATTAAAAAAAAAATATTGACCATTTTTTATTAAATTTTCTTTTGGCCGAAAGAAGAGTTAGCTGCGACCGGGCGGATTAAACTTCTGAACACTGATAGTTCATCTCAGATTCAAATCCAGGCGAACGAACTGACGGGCAGTCAAGGCACATATCAATGCTAGTTTGGTCAAGGCACATAACATTCATAATTTTCGCGGCAATTTTGCAGCTTGAATTTGAAAAAATTTCCCTTAAAAAGCGCCACGAAGGCATCTCTTTTCCATAGGCAGATAATTCTACTGTGTTTCGCCTTGATATAATAATTTAATTTTTGTTTTCGCTTCCTATTTCGACTGCACCACAATATGCAATATGTATGCACAATATGGAATATGCAATATGTATACATGATTCGTTATATAAGAAATTTGAATAATTGAAGTTTCCAAAGTTTCTCTTCAAGAATATTGCACGCATTAGTGGTTGCACTGCATTATTCACCAACATTTCTTAACAAGGAATCCTTAGTTTCAGGACACCTAACCGAAATTCTAATGTCTGAGAAATCGCTCGGTGTTCCGCACGAAATGTTGAACATGATGATCAGAAATAAACACGTGACTAATCAATTTCGATAGTCAGTAACTACTAGAAACTACTCAAAGGGTTCAAATAGCTTAAAAAAATTGAGAAGCAATGCTAGATACCTATGCATTTCCTAATTAAAAAAATCACTTGGGGTACAAAATCTTTAGGTTATTTTGAAGCAGAAGACGTGAAAAATAAGCAGTGTCCTCTTCGGGACTTGAACCTGGATCTCTCGAATGGGCGTCGAGTGTGCTACCGTTACACCACAAAAGCATGCTGGAAGGAGGGAGAAACCTTACCCACTCCCCTTTTAAAGGGCGACTAAAGATTAGGGGAACCAAGCGCCAAATCCTGGTGATGAAGAATCATCATCTACCATAGTTCGGGTGCCACTGCAGAGACATTAGATTTTTTTTAAACAGAAGCTATGAAAAATGAGCAATGCTCTTGCTGGGATTCGAACCTGAACCTCTCAAATACGCTTCGAATGTGCCACCGCTACACCCCGAAGGCATGCTGGAAGGAAGGAGAATGCCTTATAGGGGTATAGGGGTCTTCATAATTTATTGGTTGCCGTTAATATTTTGGAAGTTCTCATTTTTTGTATATTTTAAAAACTTTTAAGTGACGTTTTAAGTATACCTCAGTTTCTAATTAACATAAACGTCAAGGAACACAGGACCTGAAAGAAAGGTAAATAAGCTTCAAGTTCACGACATTTAATGGTTATGTCCTTGGAGGTCATTTAATAGATAGGTATTTGTAGGTTAACAATTTTTCATACATTATAATAAGATTATTTTTCTTTTCATTATAAAATATGCATGCAACTCTAAAGAGTGAAATATGCTTTTAATGATGGGAGATAATAGGCTTCGTATTCATTGATTCAATATTATTGAATTTAATTGATTCAATATTATTTACTGTGGTTAAATGGGTCTTTGATAATACATAAACCGTTGGATGACATTTCGGAAGATTTTAAAATTCTTAGCTTACGTCTGCAAAAGTTTGCCTAAGAACACTTTTGACGTTTTGTATTGAGTATATAAATATTTTTCACGATGAATCTTATATTTAGATTAATCTCGATTTCACTTATAACCCCTCGTGATTTCTTACAGGGCTGCACAACTCTGAAGAAACCGGGATTCAGGAAACTCATGGGTTAAGCCGTTAATCCTTACATGTATACAGGTATAAACGCACTTTTTCCGATATAATTACATTTTCTGTTAATTCTGCATACTATAACAACAATATATGTAACAACCAATTATATGTCACAACTAATTCCAGAATGCAAAAAGCAAACAAGAAGAATTTGATCACTTTATAAGTTGTTGCCACCACATATTATCGCCCTATATTACATTTAAAGAAATTAAATAATGAAGAATCTACATGAATGCATGTATGTTTCTCGCATTCTGAAACACCGATGGTACCTAGAGCCATCAAATTTTGAATAACTCAGTCCTCCACCCGAACATGGGCACCTGGAAGTCCTAATTTTGAATTTCGAATTTGTTTAATTAATGACAACACTGTACAGAAAAAAGCATTTTTATCACCAGCGCGCGAGACTGTCTACCAAAAACTCTAAAGGTACGCTGTTTTTAAAAATTTTGAAATATCGCTGTTGAATTGAATTTTATGTGGTTTAAGTGAGAAAAACATGGTATTTGGTAAATAAAGGTAACATACTAAACGTTTAAAAAAAACCTTTGGCGTAATATAAAATCTGAGAGCTTTCATATATATATAGAGAGAGAGAGAGGTTTTTTTTTTTTTTTTTTTTTTTTTTTTTTTTTTTCGAGAAAAGAAGCACAAGGTACTTCATTCACTTTGACTCCTTAATAAGTCTTTAAGGTAATGAAGGTAAAAAATTAAGCTTTAAATATGTAGAATATTCATATCTAGCATGAAATTATATTTATTACGTTCTGGAATGAAAGCCAATGCATTTTGTTTACGGAGCTTGCACGGACGTTTAAGGCCGTTACGCACTAGCTTCCTAAAACATCATGTAGCACGAGTAGAAGTTGTAGTTGCGAGGCGCCATTTATACGTAACATTTATCTATCAAGGAATATATACATATATGAAACTCGATTGCAAGTTCGTCTGTAAAAAAGTACGGGAAATTTAAAAGTATTATGATCATGGTTTAGTGACAATAAAATTCTTTCTACAGCGATGTGTTTAAAAAATATTATTAATAGATAACAAAATTTTTAAATTTTTTTTGTATTTTAACTTTAAATAATTTTAAAAAACACTTTACTGCGGTCCAAATACAGTTTCAATTCTCTTAATTATGCAGCTCTGCGAAAAGATTACGAACACCAACATTCACGGAAACAATATTTTTCTAAACCTTTAAAATGTAAACAACGGTGACATATAATATCTGGAAATGTCAAAGTATTAAACCTTTATTTAAAGTAATCTTTACAAAATATTTTAAAACTGTTTGGTAAGGCACATTATCATTAGTAGCGTTAAGTAGTTATGAAATAAGTTTGTTTAGAAATGAGAATTACTGAAAACTTCCATTGCGTATCTTAATTTTTAAGGCACATTACTAGCAATTCTGTTTTCTTGGTAACGTATTTTCTCAAGTCATATCAAGAGACTTTCGTCATTTAATTTCGGCATATCCGAAATTTAATTCTGAGGTAGATTCTGGTATGCATAAACATATATAAAATTACATTATTTTATTTAACACCAAAACATATTGCTTCTTTTATAGAAACAACAGTCCTTTCCGAAAGTTCGGAACTAAGTTTTACAAAAAAAAAAAAAAAAAAAAAAAAAAAAAAAGCTACATTGGGTGCATATGTTATTTTAGCAGAAAAGGCACTTGAGATTAATAATAGAATATAATTTTATATTAGTGTATTGTGCCTAAGTTGCTCCTATAGTAATAAATAAATTATTAAACGTAGAATCTTTCAGCATCATGGAGCATAGACTTTTTCCTAACAATTATACTTTTGTCATTTAAAGAAAAAAAATATATTTGGCAAACAGACGACAGGAAGAGATATAACAGAGAAAAATTTCATTTTCAAATGACTTAAATTTAAAATTACGCGTTAAAAATAAAATGTATTGGCATGATGTTTTGTGTTATTCGAAAGAAAATCTTTCCCTCTACAAGATGGCGTGCTTGATTTTTTTTCCTGAGCTCATTTTTGTTATTTTCCAGATCATTAAAATGGACTCAATAGTCAAGTCGACAAAAAATGTCGACAAATAAAATCGGAAAAAAAAAAAAAAAAAAAAAAGCGTTTTCGACACCTTTTTCTTTTTGCGATTAATCGAGGCGCCAATGGTGCAGAAGCCGCAAGAGAGATTTGTCAAGCGTATGGAGAAAGTGCAATGCCTGAACGAACTGCAAGAAAATGGTTTGCCAAATTCAGAAATAGAAATTTCGACCTCGAAGACGCTGCTCGTTCCAGACTACCAAATGAGTTTTATGAAGAGCGTTTAAATCAACTTCTGCACTTCAAACCACTCGAAAATTAGCCGAACGAATGAGTTGTAGCTAAATGACTATAGTTCGACATCTTGGGTCTATGGGGAAAATCCAAAAACTCGGATATTATTGACTAATTTCTTGTTTTTTGCTTTGTTAAAATAAAAATTTTTAAATTAAAAAGCGGACATTACTTATATTCCAACCCAATAAATTCAGAAATACTAATAAACACTTTAGCTAAAAATTACATATATAAATCGATTTCTATTAGAATATGTACTTTATGTCTTATTGCTTTTATTTTATAATACCATCTTAATTTTCAGTCTAATATAAAATTTAAAAAAAAATCTTATTCCTCGACTTTCTTTTTGTTGCTTACGGTTGGCAACAATGAATGCGATTCAAGCGTTCAATTGTCTCAATGCTCATTTCACTGATTTTAAAATTAATGTTCTTATATTTCCATACTGGCGTAACTTTCGCTTCAGGTAACAGTTTTAAGTACATCCAATTGATGAACATAAGATTCCAGAATAATCGCTGTTAAAAGTCCGATTATTTTTTGTGTTACCATATGCAGTCTCATTCTGAGGACTTCAGCTGATACCTTGGCGACGTTGGCTTTCTTTGGCATCATAAATTTAGTATACAGAGAATCACCAGACACCACAGTGTCTTGCTAAATAGTTCTTGAAAGACACTTCCCAATGCTGTCTGATTTTCTCAGTTCATTCCATCATTTTTGAGTGCTTTTGGCAGTGCGGTGTAAGAAGTTCGATCACTCTTGTTCCTATGTGCATTGCAGATGTGAATCGTGGATGTACCCAATTTGAATCGCAGAATCTAACTTTCTACGTTCAAACTTGTTTGAATCTCCGGGATCTTGGCATCACGTCTTTTTAGTTGTTGTCGGGATAATAATCTAAAAGAAAAGGCAAAGGCCAAAGTTATTCTCGGTCGTGAACATCTGAATTATCATGACTTATAGTAATCTTTAACTGAATGATGCTAACCATTTACTGATCATTGAAAAGTATACGATTATCATTGAAAATATATTTTAAGAAATTTTGAATTTAACAAATATTCTCTTCTTCGTATAAAGCTAATTTAAATTTTAAATTATGAAAATTTAATTGTACACAAAAAAGATTAATTATTGCTGCGAACTAATTTGCAATATCATTCAAATTCAGAGAGCATTTGTAAATTAAGTGCAAATACCTAAAACTATTAAAAATATATTTAATAATCCAAAAAAATTAATCTTAAAACTTTTAAAGAATTTTTAAGACTAAATAAATTGGCATAAAGTGAATAATTGTTGAGCAGGCAGGAGACGGATCTCTTCAAAGGGAAGTTGCCTCCAAACCTAACTCTTCAATTACTCATTTCGTGTTTCGTGATACATATAGGCATGGGTATAGTAATATTCAAAACCAAAAGTAAAACTAAATATAGTGAATTGCTTAAAAAAATTTTAACTATTAAAGAATTTCGAGAAATTTAGTAAGCAAATCGGCTAGGAATTTTAATATTCTTGTTTTGATGAAGTATTTCCTAGTATTAAAAAAAGAAGAAAATAAAAATTCATATTCTAGAGAGAATAAAAAATATAAATTCTTGGTGTTCCCCTGCTGAGCTGAACTCATCGTCACATATTTAGAGTGCCCTCTTGCCGCACAGATACTAGACATTTGCAAACGTACATACCTTCTCTGCGATTCGAACTCGGGGCCTGCGGTATTGTAATCAAAGTCATTAACCACTACACCGTTTAGGCGGCTGACTGATACCTGTTGGTCGCTAAAGATCACCAATGGATTTCTTATCACGAAAAGAAGAAAAGTTTTCAGAATTTCTTTTCATTAAAACAGTTTGAAATAAAGGTGTTATTTTCTTTCGGAGCAGCATAAACACTTAATACTTCGTTCATTACGATGCCACGGTACTATTAGGTCCATTGTGACCAAGTCATAAGACCACTCACTGTACATTGGTAATCTGACCCGGTTAAAATTCTGGTGAAAGCGCTGATTGCATGGATGTTTCACTTGTATAACGGAAATATCTGCCAATTTCGTTTAGAAAATTCTCCGGGAAAAAATTTCTCATCTTAGACAGATAGCCCTAGTGCTTTGCAATAATCCAAGCAATCTGGTCCCTTCAAGTCACGTTGTTACCAAAGGACTACCATTTTGGTCAAAATTATGTCTCAGATCATTAAAGCGAAAAACTTGTTAATCAAAAGATAATATCAAACAATGATTTTCCGAGTTAGAAAAAATACTTAATTTAACGTTTTCATATCATGATAGCGATTAAAATAAAAACCAGGAAAATTTTTATCAGCGTGAATGTTACTTGCTAATTTTTCAAGATGTCTGAGAAGAAATTTAACATCCATTTTTTAACTATTTTAATTTCAGAAATAGAGAAAATGGCGAAATTTAAGAATATTATGACTGAGGTGATAAAACAACTGAAACGAAGACGTGTTAAATATTACCAGGTAATAATTCATTTCCTCCCAATTATTACCCTGAAGAGAAAATGACTGAAAAATTCTATATTTGCCAATAAATTCAAAAGTGCTTTTGCAGCAAAATTTGCTTAAAATATTAATTCCTTCGGTTAAAAGTCGTTAAAAATAGCCTGCAGTTACGTTAGTACTTTTCTGAGAAATTCTTATTATGTAAAATTGATTATAAGCATGGAACTAAACTCACTTTAATTGTCTAAGAAAACGCTGAGAAGTCTATGAGGTCTGTATCTGGGCTGAGGCTAGTGTGAGGTGAGGAACCTGCTGACCCTGGAGATCTTTGCGTCGTCCACGCCATGGCATCATCCCATACTTGTCCGCTCATTGCCGCAGCACCTTCTGACATCATTCCAGGCCACCGGCCATCATCTGAATGACTACTGGCTTGATCATATGTAGATGCTGGAGGTTCGAGAAGGTACTGAAGTTGCTTGATGTATTCTATAGCTGATCGGAGGGTCTCCATCTTGCTGAGCTGCAAGTTAAGAGAATAATTAAGCTTTTTGCAAAATCACTTAATACAGAATGTTACCGCATACATTTGCTTAACACTTAAAATTTTCTGACCAATTACAGCTTGTGGCATAGTAGTTTCACAAAATAGTAGTGTTTGTTTGTTTATGGGGCCCATAGACTTATAGCATGCATCATTCAGAAATTAGCTAGTCATGGATATGTGTTACAAATTTCTGAAAGTCGTGCCTACGCGCAACACAGCTAAATAAATTCTAAGGGTCCAAAATTCCCCTCATAGGATCGACTACAAAGAAAGAGAAGTAGGACGTCTGGGATGACATCTTTCGCAAGATGCTGCCAGTCAAAATTGGGAGGAAGGTCATACTTTCATTCCAAGTTTAGTAAGCTTATGAATTAAACATAAACACTTATATTTTCAAATATGATTAAGAAATAAACAGAAATATATATATATTGGAGAATTTCTGTAACATTTTAAGTCTGAAAATTAAAGTGTACAGAAACACATTTTATAATCAACATTTAAATGGTTTATTTTATAACCTTTTTTTAATAAAAAGCAACAACTGGCAAGTAAAATATAAAATTTACGTAATGCAGATTTTGAAAAAAAAAAAAAAAGAGAAAATATATGTTTTTAGTGATACGCAGAGCTATGAAGAAATCCAAATTTATTTTGAAAATAAACAAATAAAAGCAAAACATATATGCCTCTAGCTATGACTAAAACTGAATTTTTTTTAGGGGGGGGGGAACTTACAACTGCATCTAAAGCTGAAATATTTATAAACTTAAAAAAAAAAAGCGGGAAAAGAGTAGGAGATGGGTGTCTGCATGTTTGATATTCATTCTGAAATATTAAAAATATTATTTGTGGCATCAATGCGTTAAGTCAGTCTGGAGCTTGCATGAATTGAAAGTGGATATAAAAAGTAAAAATGCAAAATTATGGGTACATTTAAGACTGAAACATGGGAGGGGGAAACTAACTTTTAGTGAAATAGAAAAAGAGTAAAGATAATTTATACCTAGAAAAACTAAATTAAATAAATAATCATATACCTAGAAAAACTAAATTAAATTGGAAAGAAAGCGGGAGGGGAGATAGATAAGATAGACACCTACAGCAGCATTTTAAAGCTTCAATATTGCCACCCCCCCGCTAAAAAAAAAAAAAAAAAAAAAAAAAAAAAAAAAACTTTAGGGGGGGGAAACAAAAAAACTTTGAAAAAGAACAAAAAAAATCTTTGGATAAAAACAAAAACAACTTTGAAAAAGAACAACCAGAAAAAAAAAAAAAAAAAAAAGAGAGAGAGAGAGAAAAGAATATACATGCTTATAAGCAAGCTTGGAGCTGAAATATTGAGAAAAACAAAATTAATATTGTAAGAAATCAGCAAAGACTTTCATATTAAATCCACAATGAATCTTTCAAGCAAGAAAATATTGTAAGGTCGAGATTGAATAAAATATTTATAAAAATAAATAAAGGGATTATATGTTTATGTCACAGTTGGCATTTGATTACAATTTATATCCTTACATTTCGAACGTTTACTGTAAATTTCCATACAAAAGATAAGAATTCGAATTTCTCCCTTGGTTTGAAAAAATTACGGTAACTTTCATATACTTCTCCAAAAATTTATAAACTATGTGTGTTACAGCATGCATCATACTCCGAAAGAAGTGATTTTTTTTTTTTTTCATCGGGATTTGGTAGCTACAATTACTCCAAAAGATTCAGGATTTACCATTCGATTATCTCAACTTCCGCAGATCGCTTACCTTCTTCCGCGTGTTCCCTTGAGGTAGGTACTGTCGAAGCGTTGCGAAACCATGATTCACCAAACGAACTCGTTTCCTTTCCCTCTCGTTACGCCGGGCCATGGCGGTAGGGGCCTGCAAGGCCTTCGGTGGGACAGCTGACAGGGCTAGGTGCCTGCGATCCGGAATGAGAGCCGGTGGAGCAGGGCTTGAAGAATCTTCCTGGTGGGTGAAGTGTTTGAGGTTTGGTGAGGAACGGTATTTGGGAAGGATTTCTGAAAAAGACACATTAAAATATACTTCAAAATTTTGGCAAAAGCTTTGTACTTTCAGTCATTTCAAAACTATTCGAATACACTTTTCAATATCTTTTCACTTTCTAGTCTCGATCCTCACTTTTTTGCCCTTATCGCTTTTCAAATTGTTGCCACTCGGCAAAGCGTAAACTGCCTCTCAAATTTATTAAAATAAATTAGCCATTTAAAAGAAATGTGTTGGCAATCTCGGATACGAAATATTTCTATCTTCCACGCCTCTATTTGATGCCATTAAGAGAGGCATAAAATATTTTATTTTATTTATTTATTTTTTAAATTTCCTGTTAAGGATTAACAAATTAAGCGATTTAAAAGCAATAAGCGCAGTTCTTTATCACTAGCTGGGCTCGTGAAATGACACTATCTGGAGTTTTTTCTCTTTACAGCAACTATTTTAGACTGCTGACCGGGCCAGCGGCTACTTTTTTGAAAAGCTGAACGGACAAAAGAGTGATTCGAAGCTAAGTAAGGTTCCAGATTAATGACGCTTCTGGGCTAAAAAATGTATGGTAGCATTTAACACTGTATCGAGAATTCTAAAGACACACTGTTTTTTAAAAATGAGTGATTTTGTTGTTGAATTTTATGCATCATAAGTGAAAATAAAAGGATATTTAATTATAAAATTAAAATGACAAAAAAAGAAAACGTTGTGTCAGCAGAGGTGAGTTCAAGTACAGACTGGTAAACAGCGAGTTCAGCAAGTGAATAAAACACCTTAGCAATTGCATCGACCCCTTTTAAAAGAATGTTCATTATAATAATATAATATTTCCTCCTTTTCCTTATAATATGCAGTATGCAGTATAACCATAATGTAAAATAATTAAGCATAAATGACTTAAAGGTAAAAATTTGATTCAAAATATGAACAAAAGTTTTAAAAAAAGTGGTTATTTAGCTTTATGTTTTATTATTTTTGCATTATTAATAATTTTAAAAATATAAACAAGTTTTCAGAAACGAAATCACAGATACTAGTCGCGCAAAAATTGAATGCGCTTGACGTATTGATGCAATTTGTTTCATATTTGGCATGAATTTACTTTCTTTAATTCTTAAATCACTTCTTCAAAAATATTCAATCTGTTTCTCGTTTTCTATCCCCGTTTTGCATTCTTCGTATATTTTTAACTGTGTTTTCTTGTGTTCATGAGTTTTACTTTTATATATTTCATTTACAGCATAAAAAATTAGTGTATTTAAAAATATTATTAATTTTTGAAACCTATGATTTTCGTGATTTAAGTGTATTTTCCTTTATTATTTATTTTATACGATTTCTTCCTCACTACATAATTTTTATCAGAAAGAATTAATTATGAGCTTTATTGATAAATTTTCGTAATCCATGTGATCTCGATTATGTTAATTACTTGCTGGCGCATGTTGGCTTCTCAACTCCTAATCGACCCTTTCATCATCATCGACCCTCTTTTAAAATTGCATCAACCTCCAGGAGATCATCACCGACCCCGTTGGGAACCTCTGCTTTCCAGCAATTCTTAAGTCATTGGATCAAAAGAAAAAAAAAAATATTGTAAATTTCCTAAATTCTAAACTTTTTACCCCCATATCTTGCAGATTTATTGAAGGCACTTCCCTTTTCGATGTAAAGAGCATTAATGACCGACAGGATAAAACTGCTGGATAACGACACTTATTTCTGAAATTCGACTATCGGTCGAACACTTGCCGCATGATTATGAAATGTACAACCTTTATAACTTCAGCTTTTTAAGCATATATGTCATAAAAACATTTTCTGAAAGGTTTCAGATTTTAAATTACGTTCAAAGAGGCGATTTTTTTTAAAAATATATATAACACTTTTGTATGTTACCTTTATTTATTGAATATCATGTTCTTCACTCTTAAACCATAAAATTCAGTTCAACAGCAATATCGCAAAATAATTTTAAAATGAGCGTATCTTCCGAATTTCCGATACAAAGTCTCGCGCGCTGGAGGCAAATTTTTTTTTTTTTTTTTTTTTTTTTTTTTTTTCCCCGTACAGTGTTGCTATTGCTCGCTTTGAAATCGTTCAGTTTTTTAATGAAAAATTCGTTGAAGTGTTACAAAACACGAAATCGATAATCAAACATATTTCAAATTCAAATTTAGGCTTCCACATGCCCATATTCTATCGAAGTTTACGTTATACATATTTTGATGGATCTAGGTACTGTTTTTTTATCACAATGAGAGAAACATACATACATTTATGCAGATTCTTCATTATTTAATTTCTTTGAATATAATACAAAGCGATAAACTAAATTAAGCGATATCAGACAATTAAATTCAAACGCGGGTAACGTAGTCTATGACTACGCATTTAACAGAATAAGAAATAAGCTTGCTGAGTTATTTTTATTAATTTTCAAACTAATCCAAAGAGAAATCCATTCTAATTCAAAGAGAAACCTAGCAAGCAATTTTTTAATTAAGTCATTTTCAAAACTAAGGTAAACAAACTTTTATCTACCTCATCATTAAGAGAAAGCCAAACGGGCAATCTTTTGCCCATCATTTATTTAGAAAGTTTCGAGAATGTCTTCAATAGCCCTTTGCATATTATCTATAAGAGTTGAACTACTGCAGACTACCGCCCAACCGTGATAGTGGTTATTGACTCTGATTGCTGTACCGAAAGGTCCGGGTTCGAATCCCGGAGAAGGCTGTTTGATGTTTGTAAATGCATAATGTCTCTGAGGCCCGCCGTGAGTCAAAATTCCTGTCGAGAGGTTGGTGTTAGGGAAATAGGGTTGGACCCCTGCTCCCTGGGTCTCAAATTCTCTTTCAAAATTGGTGGGCGGAACTTAGCTGAAGTCGGACTGTCAGTTATATGGTGTTCAAGGCTCTTGCCAACGATAGGCGCATTTGATCCTTGTCACGATGAATGTCATGTGCGCTTGTGATGACAATTGTCTGACCAGTGAGATTGGTAAAAACAACAACAACTATCACAGACGTAATGTATTCTTTGTATACCAAATTAAAAGTTTTGGATGAGAAGATTTTTTACATGGGTATCTTAAATGAACTGCATTTCAATAAGTTAGAGATAGTTGGATGATTTAAGGACACAAATGCTGTTGAAAATATGTCATGGAGCTTATCAAATAGTGATGGAAATGCCATTTAAAGCTTAAACATACGTGCACAGCAAACTAACATTGCGTGTTGCCTCTTTAAGCCGCGAGAGCTTGTGTTCTTCGCACTAGTTTACAACTGCATGCAAACGCACAACATATTTATGATAATCCAAATAATATACTGAGTACCTAAAATAAAAATCAGAAAAAAGCATTGATTCTAATTTAAGACGACCATACACAAAAGTTCGTACGCAAGTATACACATCTGTCATCAGTAAATTATTTAAAGGAAGGATCTGCGAGCTTTAATGTTAGTTTGAAGCCATTTCGGGAAAAGCATCTGTCACTCGTCTGAATTTTTTCATGAAATCTAAATCTGTTCTATAAGATCATTTTAAACTTTAAAGAAGAAATTAAAGGAAATTAGAAAGCATTCTGAAATATCTGAAATAACATTAGAGAGAGCAAAGAAAATACAAGTATCTAAGAAATGTTTCATATTTTTTACTAGATATATTGAACAAAGTGTATGATATATTGAACATACTAATATTAAGCATACTGAGCATATTAATTATGAGATATGTTAAGCATTTAGAAGACAAATAACAGATTATAAGATTTATTGAACATCGTATAAATTTTTATACAGTATTCGTTTTCGAGTGCTTCTAAAAGTATCTAACAATTTATTAGCTACATGGTTGTTCATATTCTGGTTGGATTTAGATGTGAAAAGTTGTCTATTATTTTTTTTATAAAAAGATGCTGTTTATTGCAATTAATTTTCTCTTTAATTAGATTGGCGCGACTATTATCAAGTCGCGCCAATCTAATTTGAGCTACACATAAAATATCACTTACTGGTTGTTATAATCACACCAAAAATACCTAAGTATTTGTTAAAGTTAGGTTAACTTATTTGAATATGGCAAAGCCACGAGGACTGTCATTCTAGAGAAGGGATGCCATCGTGGAGGACTTACTGAGGCAAACTGCCTGGTATTCACGTTTGGGAAAAACACGAATATTAACCATGCGGCCAGCCCGTTTGCCTAATTTCGAACCCAAAACCAAATCGTACAATCAGTATTCGGCGGTCTTAACCAAGCGACCTCTGGTGGCTTAAGTATTATTTTAAAAAATCAAATCTGTTGAGCTATCAGTCATAACAACAATAAAAAAATTACCGATATGCAAAAATATTTTTAACTATAGGCTTTGTTCAGAACCAAAATAACATTAACCTCGTTTTCCAAAAATAGATATTCAACTGATAAGCAAAAAAAAAAAAAAAAAAAAAAAAAAAAAAAAAAAGAAAATTGAGTCTCAAATTCTGAATATGCAACGAGCAACAGAAATATCTACACAGCACTACAGATAGATGTTTCATAAATGATTCACATTATGAAGCGAAAATAATAAAAGGAATTGTAATAATTTAAAGGAAAATAATAAAATAGAAAACCAAGAAAATAATAAAGAGAATTTTGGTAACCTAAAGGAAAATAATAAAATAGAATTTTGGTAAAAAAAAAATAAAGAGAATGTTGGTAAAGGAAAGTAATAAAGAGAATTTTGGTAAACGAAAATAATAAAGAGAATTTTGGGTAACCTAAAGGAAAATAATAAAGTAGAAAACCAAGAAAATAATAAAGAGAATTTTGGTAAACGAAAATAATAAAGAGAATTTTGGTAAACGAAAATAATAAAGAGAATTTTGGTAAACGAAAATAATAAAGAGAATTTTGGTAAACGAAAATAATAAAGAGAATTTTGGTAACCAAAAAGAACACTTTCCTAGAAATCAATAAAAAATTATAGATTTCGTCTTAAAAGATTAGAGTAAATTTACTAAATTACCGTACTAACTCGAATATAAGAAACCACCTTTTTTGTCTACATTTTTTATTCTATAATTTTGAAGGTTCTTGAAAACGAATATTTTGATAAATAAAATTGTAGAATTACTAGTGTCATACTATGTAGTGTGATTTTGCTGTCTCAATACTAAATAAACCACAGATAACTACAGTACACGTAAACTGCGTAACTACACCTAATTATAATAGCCACGTCTCTAGGTAAGTGATTTCAATTTAGGCTTACATCCATTATACTGGTCACTGGTATGCTTTATAACAAAACAGGTAACGTTGCTTCCTAATTTTTTTTTTTTTTTTTTTTTTTTTTTTTCAGTGCGATCTTCAAATTTTATTTAATCCGGTAGCTTGTAGAGACATTAGGTATTTTTTTTGGAAGCAGGCAACATAAAAAATGAGCACGCCTTCTCCAGGAATCGAAACACGGGCCTCTAGAATACGCGCCCAGCGTGCAGACCACCACACCACGAAGGCATGCGAAGAAGGCGAGAGAAATACCTTATAAGCTTAAATTTCATTCCAATCAGAATCAAATGGATTCTAATCAGAACTATAGTGTCATCAAATATTCAGCTACATTCTCATTTATTTCTTAACATTTATCCTAAAATGTAAGGACAGTCTTATATTCAAGCGGCTTATATTTTCAAATAAATTCGGTAATATAGTAAATGAAGCAAGCATCAGTTTTTCTAAACCGAAAGAATCATGGATATTGTTGAGGAAAATCAAATATATTAGAGAATCACATTTTTCAGTAGAATAAATTGAAAAAATCTTCATGATTGGTTTTAATTTCTGTATAAGTTGCTTAACATGCACTTTAAGCTAATATCAACATTTCAGAATGAAAAAAAAAGTTTTTAACTCTACATTAAAACAGAAGTTCACGAAAATACAATTCCTTTTAATAAAGTTATAAAGAAGTTATAATGCGCTTTTGCAGCTGAGGATGACGGTTCGGTAAAACCATCGAAACTAGTCCTGTGAAAATTTGGAAAATATTACGCTAATTTTTGTTGCTTGACTTCTAAATTAATATTTGTTCGGCGTGTTATTGTATCTTAATTATAAGGGTTGCATTTCCACTGTGCGTGGTCTCGTTGCGTAAGTAGCTAACACATCCATCTATTACTGAAAGATCCGTTGTTCGAATACCCGAGAGGCAAATTTTTTAATATTTCTTAACTTTAAAATTGTAACATTCTCTATAGCAGCGGTCGTCAACCCTTAGAACTTCACGGACCGCTACATAAATAATTTTACATTTGACGGACCACTAATATGAATTAAAATAAAGTAAATACATTTATACAATAATAATCAGCAAACTACACATATTTCGTTCACATTGAAAAATTATATGAAAAGTACAAAAACCTTACCTTATCGTATAAAAAGCTTCACATTTTCATATCACTGAAAAGGAACTTCACGAAAAGCAAGAACAAATTGGCAAACGCAAAGCAATATCAATAAACTGATAGTGTTATGCCGCCAATTTTTAGTTATTGTAAACATAATAATCATCACTTACTCAGCAATGGCGCCATCGATCAACATTTAGATAAAATAATCGGAAACTTCCAGTGATGCAATTCTAAACAAAAAATGCGAATGAACCATACGCATTCTAGTTTATAATTCCATCAAGTTCTATCCATAAAATTCCATCAAGTTGCCTATTGACACGGAGAAAAACTGTGTTATTAACGACTACAATAGCATATGTTTGTAATTCAAAAGGAAAGAGAATTCCAGTTCGTGCTATTATTGATAACAGCAGCATATCCATGGATGCCAACTCTCACTTTCAAATGTCGCTTAAATACACCTCCAAAAGTAGCTAAAAAGTCGCTAAATTCAGAAGGAATTTTGCTAAAAGTAGTAGCTAAAATTTGAAAAACGTATAATCCATATCCCATAATAGGTTTTGTTACTCGTCATTTTTTAAACTGAATTTTCATAAAAATATAAATATTTCCAATTTTCCAATTTTCTGGATTTATAAATCCAATTTTTCTGCGGACGAGCAAAAGGTTATCACGGAGCACCAGTGGTCCGCTGCTCTATAGCATAGATGAAAGACTTAAGAACATGAGGTACCCATATGTCGAGTTCTGAGATTAAACCTAGACATTTCAAATGACCATGAACGGTCGAATTCGATAAATTTAATCTCTCAGCTATTTCACGAGTTGTTATTTGCCCGGTTTGCATCAATTAATGCCTTTATTGTGTCTTCATTAGCTTCAACTGGCCTTCCAGAACGTGATGCATCAAGATCAAAATTGGCGGATCGAAATTTTGCAAACTAGTTTTGGCACTGGCGTTCTGTCAATACATCTTCTCCATAACATCGGATAATTTGTTTCTTGCTTGAACAGCATTTTAACCTTTTCGTAATAAAAAAGTAAAATATGCCGAAAATGCTACTTTCTTTCCACTTTCCATATTTGAAAGGGCGCCAACCAGAATCTGCTGCGTAGAATCAATCGATCGTTTCCGGAAAAAAAAACGAGCTATATCAGCTGTCAAAATATATC